CATTCCCCACCCAAGGAAACGGCATCTCTCCCGGGGTCCCCCGGCGGAGGGCCCAGCACCCCGCGAGCCCCTCCCTCACCTTGCGTCACCACCTTGCCGAAGACGGGCAGGGAGTCGAGCGTGGAGCAGTTCCAGCGCCGGTTCCGGAACTGGTACTGGCACTCCTCGATGGCGAGCTGGGCGCCGCGGCGCACCGAGTCCATCACCTCCAGGTTCCGCTTGCACATCTGCACCTGCCGCTGGATCAGGCCCTTGAGCTTCTCGCACGTCTCCTCCTCCGAGATGCTCCCCACCGAGGACAGCTTGGCCAGGTACCTGGGGAGAGGGTGGTGGGGGTGGAATGAGATGCAGAGCCTCCACCCCCGCTCTGTCCACTCCCAGGACGAGGCCATGCCCAGCCCAGATCTCTGGGAACCGACTTCTCCCACCCCGGGGCCTGGCTGCCCGCTTCTGTCTGGATCCAGTGACAGGCCCTCTGGCCCAGCTCTTGGGGCCGGAGGTTGGAAGTGTTGTCTCCCACAACAAGGCCTCCGCCTCCAGTTGGGCAAAGCAGGCCGAGCCCCCATGGGACCGGGGTGGTCCCAGCCCCTGGGCCCCACCCCTTCCTGCCGAGATGCCTGCTAGCTGGGAGTCTACTCTGGTGTCTCTCTGTCCCACCCCCACGGCCCCCACCTTCTGGCTGCAGCCAAGACCCTCACTGCCAGCCACATCCAGGGCCACCAGATGGAGACCAGCATCTGTGCTGCAGCACGTAGGGGTGGGCAGTGAAGGCAGGCAGGGTGGGGGTGGCTGGAACGCAGGCCAAGAGGGTGATGTGCCCAAGGTGACGTAGACAGCAAGTGCCGGAGCCGAGCCTCAAGCTCCTTCCAACCCCACGGCCTTCCTCGTGCCCGTCCTCCTCCTGAGGGGCCTAGGAAGGCTCTGTCTCATCTAATGACAGACACGTTATGATCTTGACCAGGAAGCAAGGGGGCCGGGAGCAAGACACAAACATGCTCACGAGGAAGGGAAAAGGCCCTGTGAGGAAGAGGTGATCCCTCTCTCAAGGGAAGGAGGAGTGCATTCACTGAGCACCTACTAAGTGTCGGTTGTTTCAGAGGCAAAGTGACTGGCTCAGGGTTACCCGGTTTGTAGGGATGGACCTGATTGGAGCCCAGGTGTGAATGTCCGCATGACTTGTGCTATAACGGCTGCCCTTCAGCCCACCCCCCACCCCAGGTGTCCCTGCCACATAGTAGGTGTACAGGTGGCAGTTTAATGACGGGAGGAGAGGTGGTGGTGTCTCTGGAAAGCCCCCTCTCCTCTCCCTGCCTCCCTTTCCCACCTGCTCAGTGAGAGGTCCATCTTCTCACCTCCCAGGCAGGGCGGCCTGGGGTGCCTGTTGGGTTCTTGGGGGAGCAGCAGAGCACAGAGAACCACAGACTTAAGGAACATGCCCAGACAGGGGGGCTGGTTCAGACCCCTCATTTCATAGGTGAGCACAGAGAGGGAAAGGAGCCTTCCCACGGCCTCCCAGGAGGAAGCGCAGACCCTGGCTGTACGCTCAGCCTCAGCCACACGGACCTGGGGCTCAGAGCAAGAAAGACAGTGTCCTCCCGCCACCACCTCTACGGGGAACCCTTGGCCAGCAAACCCGGTCGGGGGAGCTTGCTGAGGTGGAGGTGAAGATGCTGTTGCATCCTACAAGGGAAGCCGCAAGTTTCCTGTCCAAAGAAGATTTAAGAGGGGAAGGTGACCATTTTGGGGATTCATTTTCCCCATCTGTAATGCGGGGAAGATACCACGGACCCTGGCCAAGCCAAGAACTGTTGTCAGAGGCAAAAGGGATCTTGTACGTGGAAGATGGTCTGACGCGAACCAGAGGCTACGGGGCAGGAACTCAACAACCATTTGCTGAATGAAGGAGCGAACTATTGAATGGTGACCACATAGAAAAGTACGCAGAAAGCCCTGTTAAAATATGGGAAATTTTTATGATGATAATAAAAAGAGTGAGGGGACTCTTCCCCCTCCCTACGTGGGAGTCTGTACTTGTTCTTCAATAAATCTCCATCTTTGCTATACCCCCCCAAAAAGGAAATTTTTTTGTATGTTAAATATCTTCACCTGAGGATATTTTTTTCCATTGATTTTTAGAGAAAATGGAAGGGAAGGTGAGGGAGGGAAGAGAGAAAGAAAGAGAGAGTGCAACATTGATGTTACAGGGATACATCCATTGGTTGCCTCTGAGCCTGCAAGCCAGGTATGTGTCCTTGACTGGGCATCGAACCCGAGACCCTCTGGTGTGTGGGCCGACACTCTAACCACTGTGCATGCTGGCCAGGGCAAAAAAAAGACAAACAGTGAACTTTTATGGCACTAGTGAGGGGGCTGAATACTTTACTTACATTATTGCATCTAGCCTCTCAGCCAGACAACAAGCTCTCATTTCAGAGAGGAGGATACTGGGGCACAGACAGGTCAAGCAATTCGCCTTGTGCACAAAATCACAGGTAGTGAGAGATGGAGCCAGGACTCGAACCTGGTTTTGCCTGATTTCAAAGCCGTTGGTGGAGACATTGTGGCTCAAGGACTAGAACCGACAGCAGCGGGCAGAAGCTGCTGGGAGCTGGGCTCGTTCACCCTGAGGATGACAGCCAAGGTGCGGTCGGCGCTGCCTGTTGCCGCGCTCCCCATCCTGGAGGTGTGCGAGCAGCAGCTGGATTCTATTTGTCAGGCATGTGGGTTGGACCAGGGTGATGGTTTTCAAACCTGGCTGTGCATCGAAACATTTGTGGGTTTGCTGAAAGTGCAGGTGCCTGGGCCCCACTCCAGGTGGGCATCTGAGCTTTTCACACGTTCCCAGGAGCAGCTGTGAGGCCAGGCTGGCACTGGCCTGCAGAGCACTTTAGGGGAAGCTCCTGGGTAGTCACTGGGGTGCTTCCTTCGCAGCCGGAGGGAGATGTGGCTCTAGAACCCACTTGCCTCCTCTCTGCAGCATCAGCCCCGGGCTGTGGGGCCTGCCTGAGTCTGGCTTTTTATCTAGAAGTGGAGATAACGGTTCCTGTCCCAGAGGGCTGCTGGGAGAAGCTAATGTGATTTGACGTGGCTGCTGCATCTGGTTCTGAGCTGGGCGCATTGTGGGTGCGCAGTGACTGTGAGGATCTCTCCCTGCCCTGGCAGCACGGGCGAGAGGGAGGTGGGTGGTCTCGGCTGAGGCGGTCCAACCTCAGGGCCTCCCCGTCCTCTCTACGGGGTCCTGCCTGGCAGATGCACAGACTGGCAGTGTCCTGGCAGAAGCTGAGTCTCTGAGGACACAGGGCGGGAAGATGGCTGAGGGGCAGGGAGAGGATGCATCTGGAAGGCGAGGGGACCACTTGGCTCCTCAGTGCGGGGCCTGTGTGCCCCCCTGCCTCTGCCAGCTGAGGGAAGGGGTCCCCTATGCAGCTAGTCCACCTGGCACTCTTGGCCTGCAGGGGGCGCCAAGAGCCCGGCTACTGGCTGTGGGCCAGGTCCAGGTTTGGGAGGCCAGGGGTGAGGGGACAAGAAGTTGGGCCTCCAGTTGGATCCTTTCCTGCTCAGACCCAGGGCTGGCCTCTTGGAGAAGCGTGGGGGTCCCTATGTCCTCGGTGACATGGGGGACCAGAGTTGGCCTGTCCCCATCTCCACCTGTGCTCCCCCTGCATGGAGCCAGGGGCCAGGTTGGACTGCTGGGTCCTGGCTTCTGGTGAAGGGAGGTTCAAGGCCAGGGGTTGTCTGGGCAGGGGGAGCAGGATAGGGAGGCCTGGCTGAGCCACCCCCTCCCCATGTGACCTTGGGCAAGTCCCCGCCCCTCTCGAAGGCTGTCTCCCTGTGGGTACACTAAGCCGGTGTGTCTGTGTGGCCATTCCCACTGCCAGAGCCGGCAGCTCTCCTTCTACGGACTGGGATGGGGGGTTCCAAGCCTCGAAGGCCTCCTGACAGAGGGAAGTTCTGCCGTTGAACGAGACGTGAGAGGGACCGGAGAGGCCTCCTCCCCCCTCGCCTAGGCTCAGGGCTCCGCGAGGGGAGAGGGGCTGAAATAACAGTAGTGGGGATTTAGGGGTGAGCTGCTAGGCTGCCAGGGCTGTGAGTCACTGGGACAGCTTCCAGGAAGAAGCTGAGAAACCTCTTCCGTTGAGGAGTGTCCCTGCCCCCGTGGCTGGCACCAATGCCCACCACCCCTGCCTTTATCTGGCCCAGCAGCTGTCCCCTTCCATGCCACAGGAGGCACAGCCCCACCCCCACCCCCACCCAGGCTCTCCCAGAGCCCAGGGTCTTGCCTGGGAAGCACTGGGTGCTAGGGCTGGAAATGGGTGGAGAGAGTTAGGACCCTGGGCATCACCGCCATCCCCTGCATTTCTTGCTGGTTCTGGGTATCCTTAGGGTGTCTGGCTTCATTTTACAGATGAGCAAACTGAGGCCCAAAGAGGGGTGGTGACTCACTCAAAGTCACACAGCTAGTGAATGGCAACGTTTGGAATACAAACCCAGCTCTGCCGGGGACCTCTCTGTTCCCCGTCCCCTGGTGGTGGGTCTGCCCCGTTGACAGCTGCAGGGGGGTGAAGCCACCCTCAGTGTCATGTCCGGCCCGGGCTCTCCTCAGCGCCTAGCACAGGGTGCAGCACACAGAAAGCGTTGAGTAAAGACGTGCAGCTGCACAGAGGGCTCTGTCCTGACCAGGTCCCCCTGCTCACCTCCTGGCAGAGGACTCAGGGGAGGGACGAATGGAGTGTGTGGGGCTGAGGGACCGCCATGGAGACAGCTTTTGCCTTTCAGTTTGCCGAGGGCCTGGAGACCCTGAGGGGCCCACCTGGTCCTGGGGACCTCAGGAAACCCCTCTGTGCACCTTAAGGCGGCTCAACCTTTCCCCCAGAGACACCCATGCCACTTGCTGACCCTGGAGCTGGGCTGGGCTCAAATGTCGACTGCACAAGCCATTTCTGGGGGAGACAGAGAGCCTGGGCATGATCAGTCTTGGCTGCCGCTGGGCTGGGCGGCCTGCGGAGAGCCTTGACCATCCCTGCTTCTGCTCCGGTCCTAGCTGCATTGCCCCAGTTTAGGCTTCTTCCTGCCACTGCTGAGTACAGGCTTAGCAATTTGCCACCTGCTGCCCCGGCCACCCAGGACTCTAGCCACAGCCGTGCCATCGATCAGGTTACCCCACCATCCCAGGCTGCCCCGGCGGCTGCTGCCAGCCAGCTCGTGCCCCATCTTCTCAAACAGGGGCTGCAGGTCCTTCAGGCTCCTCCCAGGAGGCCCTCCCCGCGCCCGGGCCCGTGCCTGCAGCCTGCAAGGCTGGAGGGCCCTGG